TTTTTGTATCATCGACACTTATAAATTTACAGGTGATCATGTATTGTGTTATATTATATTTCTGGAAAATTTAAGGGATAGTTATATAATAATTTTGGACGATCTCGGGCGGTCGGATACTTATGACCGCTATTGTATATCTTTGATTTTTGAGATTTTTCCAAAACAAAATAAGAAAAAGTTTTCTAGAAAAAAAAAAGCTTTGGAAACTTTTTATTCTTCCAAAAAATTTTTTTAAAAAAAAAAAAATTTATTTTCAAAAACAAAATAAGAAAAAATTTATGAAAAAAAAAAAGCTTTAATTTTATATTATTTCTTTTCAAAGTTTTTTTTTTTTAGAAAAAAAAAGCTTTGGATAATGATTTTTTCTATACTGAAATTTTTCAAAATATATATTTATATTTTTTTTTTTCAAATTATTATTTTTTTTTATATATTGAGACTTTTTCAATATTTTTTTTATTTTATTATATAAAATTTTTTTTTTATTTTATAATATATTATACTGAGATTTTTCAAAAATCTTTTTATTTATAAAAAATATATAAATATATATTTATTATTTTATCATTTTTATTATATATTCTGAAATTTTTTTATTATTATAAATATATTTTCAAAATTATTTTAAAAAAAAAGTTTTATATAAAAGACAAAATTAATCATTATGGCACAGCAGAATATTACGCGAAAAATATTTCATACCAATTTTTAACGCAATAGCAAAGTAAAAATATCTACTTCACATAATCTAGATAGTAACGATCCTATCTATGCAATGCAAGAAACTTCAAATAGCACATTAGTAAATCTTCAACTTTTTTCTCAAGAACAAGAATAGTCATTTTATTATGAGCCATTCAATGATTTTCAAATTTATCTTATTAATAATAAGAGACAACTCTTAACGAGCTTATAATCAATACCTTATATCCTTCTCATAATTATTACAATTATGATATTTTTGTATTTTATTTTCAGCATCCTAATGATCAAAATATTTACAAAGTTACTTGTAAAATGATTTTACATTCAACTATGGTTCAGTATTTAAACCTAAACATATATAGATTAAGATAAAATGAACAGCTGCAATAATAACCTTTAGAGTTTTCTAATTAGCATAAGGCAAACCTTGAGTTCCACTTGAGACAGTTTCTTACTGATAATTTAGAATTTAACATCAATAATATTGGACAGAGTAGCACTTCTAATACAGATTTAGTCAATAACAATCTATTTACTCAACAAGATAGTGATAGTTAAAATAATAATGAAAATAATAGACTAGAAAGATCACAAAAGAAATTATTTATTATTTTATTATTTTATCTATAAAATCGAAAGATTTATATTTTATGTATATTTAAACTTTGATTGGCGAAAAAGAAAAATACTATACTACCAAATCTGAAATTTGCTTATTGACAAATTCCTACTTAAATCTTTATAAAAAAAATTTTTTTTTTATAGTTTATGATAGCTTTAATATATTTAATATATTTAAAAAATTTTATGCCAATCATATGGGATAAGAAATTGATTTTGAGTATACATATGATAATCAAAAAAATAAAAAAAATGCTATGTCACATTAAACATTCTAATTTGAATTAATTAACTAAATTTTATTATTTAAAATTTTTCTATTAAAATTTTTGTTATTATAAAATACATAAAATTATATTATTAAAATTACTCTACCAGCATTAGAAATTAGAAGCAGTTTTGGACTTTCAATTCTTCCAATTCCAATAATTCCAATAAAAAGTTATCAGGTTTCTAATGCCTATAGAAATATATAAATTTTATATTAAGTGAAATTAGAAGTACTTTTAGATTTCCATTTCTTTCAATTATAATAATATTTCCAATTCCTATAAAATTCATTGGAAGCTTCCAATGCTTACGGGATATTATTATACAAATTTTTGTAATACTTGAAAATCAATTTCATAACAAATCACTCTATAGACATTATTACACTAATTTTATTAGAAAAATAATTTTTAAAATTAAAAATAATCTTTTTATAACAAAAATTATTAAAATGAAAAATTTTTTTTTAGCAACTTTTAAGAAAAATTAATTTTTAATAAATAATTGAAATTATTTAAAAAAAAAATAAACAGTTTAATAAAAAAATTTTTACTGTGAGGTATAAATACCCAATCCCCATTTAAACATCCATTCAAACTATTAATAATAGTTTTATATTAAATATTTTAGTTAAAAATTTTGAAATTTTAGAAGGATCTGAAAACTTTTTTAATTTTTTAAATAATAATATCAATCGCTTCTAAATTTTGTGTTGATCATTTCTAAAAATCAAATTTTTGATGTTACATAAAAAATTACTTGTTAATATCCTATGTATCATATAATAAAATGAATCAAACATCTCATTTTTGTTAGTAAAATAACGGACTATATTCATATTCTGTTATCTTTTCCTTAAAAAAAATTCCATTATATAATCAAAAATTATAAAGCGAAAAAAAAAATATTTTTAATATACTGAAAACAAAGCAAAAATTATAAATCCGTTAAAAAATCAAGGATATTAGAAATTATTTTGACTATTATTATCTTGTATAATTTACTAAGCTTGCTTAGAAGTACTACTCTGTTCAATATTAATAAAGAATCTCAGATTATCTATTTTAAGTGGATTCCTTATGCTTATTAAAAAACTCTGAAGCTTTTCTTCATAATTACTTAAAGGTTAAAGTCATTTGGTAAATTTTTAATGCTGCAAAAAAAGATTGTTTGAATATTGATGATTATGAGAAAGGTACAAGTTATAAATTTACATGACCAACCAACCAAGTTTTTAAGAAGAAGCTGATATTAATAGTTAACATCACGTGATAGTAGAGTAAACATTTATTTTTATCATTATATTGCTTAAGTAAAATAAGACTAAGGTTTTTTAAATATCAAGAATCTTTTGATTTTTATAAAAAATCTGAATCTTTGAAATCAATAATGTGCCTGACAAATTGTTTTAAATTATTAACTTTGAAAATAAAGCTGAAAATCCTATTATCTTTAATGATATTCTGAATTTTTTCCTTAACTAAGCAAAAATATTTCGTATGAATTATTTTTGAGTGCTGAGCTAACTTTTTATTTCATAAAAACATTTTTTCACCTTTTCTCTTCGAAATTTTTATGAAGGAAAGAATGTAAATATGAGTGAAATGCACATAGTGGCTATATTGATATTGATTTCAATCTTGGGTTCTATATTGCAACTAAACAGGTTGAAATCCATTTAATATCAATAAAAAGGAATGGTTTATCACATGTACTCACGAGAATGTTAATGCTCAAAATTATCAATTATTTATCCTCAATTATGCTTCAAAGCTACTAGAAATGAATTTGTGTTCAGGTCATTTTCTAAATAAGTGCACTAATTTAAGGTCTGCAAAAAAGTAATTTCACTCTAGACAATTATTAGGAGAAAAATTATAAAGCTGCAGCTAATGTTACAACTCAGAAAATTGCAGATATTGTGAATATTCAGAATTGGAAAATATATTTTAGGCTATTTATTAGTCAAGTTTTATATTGTCAGGATAATCCACTAGATATTAACAGGTCGAGGGAATAGATATAGAACATACTGATAAAATCATTAATAAAAGACCATTTAATATTGATGAGAAATTATTACTAATTTAGTCACAATAAATTTTCAAAAATACTGTCAAATTTTTATACACATCAATTAATTGACCAAACAGTAACCAAAATTTATTTATAATATACACATAATTTTATTTATATTATTTAATTACATATTCGTTTGTAATTCCTATATGTATCTATATAATAAGATTTTTCTAATGCACGATAATGAAATTAAAATATTTAAATAGAGAAAATTTATTCCTCACCTGGGTGATTTCTCACCCCATATTCACGTGATTGACTGATCGATGAATCATATTAGAGATCTGAATAAGTCACATTAAATTTTTAATAATAATAAATAAAAAAAATAGCTGCGCATAAAACTCTTTACTTTCTAAGCCACAACGATTCTTTTCTAATAGTAACGAAGGGTTTTGTAACAAAGGGTAGAGTTTTATACTGTTTGTCTCTGACTTTTTTGTTACTAGAGTTTGAGAAGAAAAGTTGTTTTTTTTTCCAATTTGTAAAGGATTTAAATTTGAAGAATCTTTTCTTTAAAAGTTCAAAGTCTTTTGTTATTTCTCTAGCATTTTTTGTTCTTTATATTTTTTTTTGAAAAGAGAAGTTTGAAAGTTATTTTCTTTGAAGTCCTCTTTACTGGTGTTGATAATTTGCTCTTTTCTTTTAAGTTTTTTTCCTCCAAAGTTTTTTTTCTTTGAAGTTTTTTTTTTCTTCTGAAAATTCTTTCCAATTTCTTTGAAGTTTTTTTAACTGATGATGTTTCCTAAAGTTCTTTCTCCAAAGTTTTTTTTTTCCTTCAGAGTTTTTTCTCCCTCCAAAAATTCTTTCTCCAATTTCTTTGACCAATAATGTTCTGAATTTTTTTTTGAGTTTTTTTTTCTTAAAAATTTTTAGTACTATTTTAATATCCATTACAAGTAATAAATAACCACTCCATTTACTCTAATATTATAAACATGCTTACCTCTAAAGCCTTCATAGAAGGTCTTTATTTGCTTGTCAAACATTTGTGTTTTTTTACTTTTTGTATTTACGCTAATTATGTTCTGCGATGCCGCACCCTTTATAGAACCTATTAATAATAATAATAATGAAGAAGAATATATTTTTAGAGATATATTAGGCTCTAAATTTAAAGGTTATAATGGTGTTTTTCCACTAATCAATACTCTGATTGAAATTGAGTTGAGAACTAAGTTTCACTCTATAGAAATTGCAGTATATTTTATAGAATAATATGCTCTTTAAAATAACTTTACCATCTTTAAGTACAAGACTGAAAATTTTTTAAATGGTACTTGTAGAAAAAGGATATTTAAGTATGATTTAGGAGAAAAGTATGTTGAAAAATATTTAAGACTGATATTAGGTAAAGAAAGAGCAAAGGAAGCAAAAGCAAAGCTGTATATGATAAGTAAATATTAATAGACGATCAAATTCACTAATAGCAACTGTAATGTTATTTAATAATAAACACAACTATGAGATTTTTATTGAAACTGTGAAATTTTCTACCACTTACAAAAATTTTTCTGAAGAAATCATGGAACAGATAGAATTTTATGTTGTGTATGACCAATGTGATACAAGAATAATTAGAAACCTCTTTCAACCAAAATATTCTGATTGTGTGTTTTTTATTCAAGACTTAGAGAATGCAATTCAAAAAATTAAACAAGAAAAGAGATCAAATTTAGGAGAAACAGCATCTCTATTAATGAAGTTTCTTGAATTGCAAGCTAATAATTCTGCATAGTTTATAAAGCTATTAATAGATAGCACAAGTAACTGGTTAGTTGGTATTTTCTAAATATCACCAGAGCAGCGTGAAAGGTAAACAAAATTTTATGATATAATTATTCACGACAATACTGTAAAAACGAATAAAAATATCTATCCGTTAAATCTCTTCATATTAATTGATAACTATAATAAGAGTAAGTTAGCAGCTCAAGCATTCATATAAGATAAAAGACAAAAATCATACGAATGGTTACTTCGATGTTATCTTGAAGCATATAAAATTCCTCTATTAACATTTGTTACTGATGCTGACCCTGCAATGATTGCAACCATTTCTATGATATTTCTAGAGACTCATTATATGTAATGTTTATACCATCTCTATCAAAATCTTCCAAAAAACCTTTGTTTATATTTAGAATCATCACTTTATCAGGAATTTCTTAAAGATTTTAAAGGAATTCAATGTTCTTATTGCAAGAATGTATTTGAAAAAGAACTAAAGGAATAGTTGAAAAATATGAGGCAAGAAGCAAATATATAATCACAATACTATTGAATTAAAAGCATACTTGGATAAAATGCTTTATATCATGATATTTTACAGCGGGAACATAATTTACACAATATGTAAAATCAGAAAATGCATTAATAAAAAAGGCCGTGCAGTCAAGTTTCTCTCTCTTATAAGTTTAAGAATCTCTTGAAAATTGGTTAGAATTTGAGTCAATTAACAATCGTTATTCAATCTGAAAAGCTTCAATATTACAGTACACATAACTTTTTATCATACAAACATTCTTTAGTAATATTGATAGTATCATAAATAAATATCTTATACAGCTAATTCATGATGCATATTATAAACAAATGTGTCAATCTGTATATTATCGTGTACATCAAGTACAATTTTTTGAAATTTCAGTATCAAATGATAGTTCATTTGAACCTTTTTTTGATAAAGTAGAAGATTCTGCCGAATCTCCTATTAAAGCTGATGAGGATTGGAAGCTTGACTTGAAGTCTTTGATTTCAATAGTTAGTTTTAACGATATTTTAGAAGTTTGAAAGATTTCTCAATACAATTACCTGAAATGCTATCAACATGTAATTCTACTTAATACTAGAATACTTATGCACTTGTTTTATACTTGTCACTCATGGTATTATATGCAGGCATTTCTTTAAAGTGTTTGTTGAATCTTCTAATACATGTTTTCATTTGACATTGATTCCTAAGCATTGGTATAAGGATGAATATATCAATTCAAGCGATACCTATTCTAGTGAGACAATTATAAGTAATGGCTAAAATGATCAAAATGGTATGTAAATCACTTTAGAATTTGCCTGAAAATACATCATAAATAATCTTTCAGAAAGGTATTCTAAGCAAATATCATGAAATCAATTAAAATTTAATACTCTAATAGGCAAAGTCAAAAGGCAATTCAATTTGCAATTCAAGATAATGATAAAGAACTAATTCAGTTTATCAAGGATTTTAATAAAGAAAAGAAGCTTAACTAATTCAAGCAGAATTGATTAAGCAATAAAAAGCTTTAGTGGTGTTAACCCTATACTCAGCTCATTGAACTTAGGGTAACTATGACTTAATAACAGGAAGTAACGTGTGAGAAACTACTAAATTATTATGAAATAAGTCCTATTACAATCAACTTTAGATTTATATTTTAAATAAATAAAGATAACTTTAACAACTTGTAAACATAATAAATACAATTGACATGTTGAAGAATTTTTAATATGTGTAGTTTAGAAAGAGATTCCTTTATTGTAGAGATTTGTATCCTTAGCAATTCTTAACTTTAGATTTTAAATCTTGAACTCGAACTATTGAGTTTACACTGTTATCTCTGCCCTTTTGCAAGGATAAGTTTCTATCCTATTTATACAAAAATACAATTATAAGAATTTACTTTTTAACACTAAACTATTTTATAATGATAAGATAAATACAAAAGATAAATTATAACTTAATGATAATACTAATATAATAAATAATAATAATAAAATATAAGAATAAAATAAATATAATAAAAATGTTAACTAAGTTAAAAATGCTAATGATGTTAATAACATTGATTATTCATCAATCTTTGTGACGCAGTAGGATTGATTTCATATAGTATCAGCAGATAAAAAAATAAATAACAATCAAGTCTTTTGTAATACAAAAGAAGTATTAATCGATTTTAATTAGATCTTGGATCTATTGAAGTGTCAGCCTAAAGGAAGACTACCAGTAAAACAGTTGAAGCTATCTGTTGAAAAATCAGATTCAAAAGGTAAAGATGAAAGTAAATAAGCAATATCTAATAGATGTCATAAGTGTAGCTTATGTGAAAAATATAGTCATTATCATAGCATTTATTCTAAGAGTTAATTTACAATACTTAATCATGTATTTATAGTGCAAGATCAAGTGTTGTTTATTAGTTTTACTTAGTAATAGTATGAGATCATATTAATTTTATAGTAATAGTATATTTGTGATATTTTGGCTTTAATTGTTATATTTATTTGGTGTAAAATTTAAACAATAAATATTGATAAATGCTATTTTTTTTATAATAATTGTTGTTAATAAAAAATGCATACAAAAAAAATTATAAGGGGTGAAAAATAATTTATCTCACCTAAGATGAGGAATAAATTTACTTATTTAAATATTATATAAAATATTTTATATTTATATAATATACATTGTATTATATTTAAAATAGTAATTTTTGTTTATTAAAGTTATAAATTAAATAATTTTTTAATTATTATAAAAATATATCTATTAAAAAATAATAAAATATTAATAAATCATATTTATAAATAAACTTATGGTAATTTCTATTTGTATACGGTCTATTGTATATGAATCATATGATATGACTATCAGTATTAAAATTACTTTAAGTACCATGAATATTTTACTTATAAAATATTTCGTGTTAAAGTATAAAGAATAGAAAAATTTGCATACTGATACCATATGAAGTCAATCCTACTGTACTACTAAGATTGATAAATGATCAACATTATTAACATTATTAGCATTTTTAACTTATTTAACATTTATATTTTATTATTTTATTCTTATATTTTATTATTATTATTTATTATATTAGTATTATTGTTAAATTATAATTATCTTTTATATTTATCTTAGCGTTATAAAATAGTTTATCATTAGATAATAAATTCTTATGATTATATTTTTGTATAAATAGTATAGAAACTTGTCCTTATAAAAGGGCAAAGATAACAGTAATAACTCAATAGTTCGAGTTTAAGACTTAAAATCTAAGGTTAAGGATTGCTAAGCATACAAATCTCTACAATAAAAGAATCTCTTTCTAAACTATATACATTAAAAATCCTTCAACGTATTAATTGTGTTTATCATGTTTACAAATTGTTAAAGTTATTTACTCATTTAAAAATATAAGCCTAAGATTGATTGTGATAGGAATTATTCCATAATAACTTAATAGTTTCTCGTATGTTACTTCCTATTATTAAGTCATAGTTACCCTAAGTTCAATGAGCTAAGTGTAAGGTTAACAACACTTTTAACTTAAAGACATAAAATATTAAAATTTATAGTTAACCAAAATTTATAGATAACTGATAGTTTTAATTATTTATTCATTATAAGTGAAAAATAAATTAAATTTTAATTCATTAAATAATACTATATTATAAAATTTTTAAACTGAACTTATTTTCCTATTTAGTTAATTTAAAGTTTTGAGTATATCTTAAAATCTTTGATAAATGCATTCTAATATTATTATGACTTATTCTTATAATTATTCAAACTAACTCTTCAAAACTATTATAATATGCAAATACTTTGATATATATAACTTATTTTACCTATTTAGTTTTAATAATTTGCTAAAATTATGTCATAAAATATTTGTAAAAAAATGAAAAATAAAGAAATTAATATTACTATATGTTATAAATTTATAAATAAATATTTAACTAAATAAATTTTATATTTACTGTACAAAAATAATTTTCAAATTATCTAATAGCATTCTAAAAAAAAAGAGAAAACAACTGAGCAAGTTTTTGAAGTAAAATACACTGATAAATATATGAATAAACAAATATGTAACCAATCAGATAGGAATGTATAAAAATTTATCTTACTACATAGGTAAGTTAAATTTTCTAATTTTTTATTAAAAAATTCTAAGTTTCTAAAATAAATAATAAAAACTAAAGATAAAAAAATGAGATACTAATGACAAATATATGTCATATGATACAGATATATATATCTCATGTAAACTTAGAAATTTTCTTAAACTTTTTATATATGATTATTATTTTTAATTTAAATAATAAAAAAATTTTATTAATGAAAAATAATAATTATATATAAATAATAATATATATAATATTAAGTATCTATTAAGTAAATTTATTTACTTATTAAAATCAATTTAGATATATTAAATTATTTTATCAAAATTATTAGTAAATTCAAAAAAAAAATTAATAATTTTTTATTTTAATTTAAAATTATAAATTAAAATTTTTTACTAAAATTTTTTCTATATATATATTAAAATTTTAATATATTTTATATTTATTAATATTATAAAATATTTAAAACTATATATATAATTTAATTTAATTTTAATTATTTTAATACTATATATTTAAAAATCATGATTTAAATTAAAATTTTACATATATTTATTTTAAACTTTATAATAAAATTTAACTAAAATTATAAAAATTATAAATTAAATTTTATTTTATAATTAGTTAAATATTATGATTAAATTTAAATAAAGTTTTTATTATTTAGATATATTTTTCTATAAAATTAAAAAACTAATTGCAAAATATTACATTATAACTAAAAATAATTATAATAATTATTAAAAATATATAATTATGTTAAATTATATTATTGTATTTACTGATTAAAATAGTCCAAATTAGCTAAAAATCAGATATCATATTCCTCTGAAAATAAGTAACATATTTTTATTATATTATTACTTTTTTCAGATATTTTGACTAAATTACGATAAATAATTAAAAATTATAAATTTTTACTAATTTATCAATAAATTTCATAATAATTAATTATATTAATCATCAAATATTATATAAATCATAAAAAAAAATTTTTATTAAACTAAAATACTATATTCTACAAAAAATTATTAATTGAAGGTTATAAAAATTAATAAACATACATTTTATCGAATAAAAAATATAATTTATTATCTATATAAAATAACATAAATATATTAAGATAGTAAAACACTTTAACATTAATTATAGCATAGTAGAATGTTAGATATCTACAAGTTTAAACTGAATAACTGAAATAAAAGAAAAAATTAAGAAGTTTGGCTTTAAACAAGAAGCCTTTTATTCTGAAGCTAAAAAGTAACTTTATGAATAAATTATAGAATAAAAAAAGTAAGGTTTCACTATTATTTATGTAAAATACAAAGTAGAATGCTAAAAATTTTAAAAGAATCAAATATGAAAATTCTTTATAGTAAATCAAATTTTAAAACTTCTTACTGCTGGTTAATTACTTTTATAAAAAGATATAAATTAATATTGCAGAGACAAACTAAAATATTTCAAAAATTTCTTAATTAAACTGAAAAATAATTAGAAAAGTTTTACTAATTTATTACTAACTTAAGAATTAAAAAATTATTTGAATTAAAAAATATTTATAATATAGATGAAACCCCCCCATTAGTTTAATATAGCTGATAATATTACTATCAATCTAAAAGATAAAAAAACAGTCTATATTTATACAAGAGGCAATGAAAAAATAGGTTTACAATTATATTTATATGTGTTACAGGTAAGCTTTTTTTTATAAAATTAAAATTTACTCACTAGTGCTATTTGATTCATTATTATAGATAGAACTAAATTTTCTTCAAATATGTATTTTTAAAGAAAAGCAAATATTACGTAAAAAATAAATTCCTTTTAGTATTATTATTTAATTCTAAAAAATGGCTGTTTAGACTCTAATTTAATAGTAAAGTATATAGATTATTTCAATAATATAAGAATAAAAAACAGATCTTAAAGAAATTCAACAATGCTTATATGGGGTCTTTACAATAGAAAGGAAGGAAACTCCAAAAAAATTAAAATTTTAATTTATAAGCTAAAAATGTTCTAAATACTATAATTTGTTCAGATTTATTATTAACTTATTTTTTATTTTTTTTTTGAGTTTCTTCCCTTTCTATTGCAAAGGCCTCATATATGATTCTTTTCAAAATTATT